CCCTTCCCTCCCCCCTCCTTCCCTCCCTCCCTCCTCCCCTCTCTCCCTCCCTTCCTTCCTTCCCTCTGTTGTGTGTTTTTGTATGCTTTTATTTCGCCTGGGACAACTGCAGTGTCACACCTACAAATCTGGTGAATGACTGCTGCTCCTGGAAGATTCAGTTTCTATCTCATTTTCTCTTTGAAGCCTCTCAGACAGCCTCCTCTCACCACACCCTGTGGGACTAGATGTTCCCTTCTCTGTGTTCCATAGCACAGGAATTTGTAAATTCCTCAGTTTTAGTGCGTCTCCCATTGTATTTTGGTTGTGTCCTAGCCTGGGAGGTTCTGGATGGTAAGGGCTTTGCCTCATTCATTGCCATGTCCCTGGCACCCAACACACTGCAAGTTCTCACTAAGTGTGTCGTGGATGAGTGGGTGAAGCAAACTGGTCCCGGAATGGTTTTCTGTCCATCTAGTTATACTTTATTCTGACCATACAGTTTCACTGAGTGATTTGAAATTGGGGGTGGTTCTATATGTCCCGTTATTTTTATTTTATTTTATTTATTTTTGCTGTATGCAGGCCTCTCACTGTTGTGGCCTCTCCCGTTGCGGAGCACAGGCTCCGGACACGCAGGCCCAGCGGCCATGGCTCACAGGCCCAGCCGCTCCGCGGCACGCGGGATCCTCCCGGACCGGGGCACGAACCCGCGCCCCCTGCATCGGCAGGCGGACTCCCAACCATTGTGCCACCCGGGAAGCCCTGTCCCGTTATTTTATGTGCACACATTTGTACCCACATGTTTAAGATGAAGGCATAAAAACAACTTTCCAAAGGGAAACATTTCCCCAGGAGCCAGTGTTTTCTGTCTTGATGCCTGAAGCCATCTACAGATCTTAAAGCTAAGTGTGTGTAGTCCCTTTTTGTTATCACTGTTCTACCTCAGCAAATTAGTTTCATAAAAACCTTTTTTTCTGATGATTATCAATGCATTACATATTTATTGTAAAGATTTCGAAGATACTGAAAAGTATAAACGAGAAAGCAAAAATTACTTGTAATGCCAGTACCAAGCCATTACAAGACTGTCACTGTTGACAACTTGGTACCCATCCTTTCACACTGTTTTCTGCTTGTACATAGTTTATTTATATACATACCTACAAAAAACACTCACATGCATATATGCGATTATACTGTGCTTACTATCTCATAAGCTTCCTCCCCTGCCCCCTGTAGTAAATTGTGATCATTTATGTCAGTAAATACTTGGTCCACTTTCAAAGGCTATGCCATAGTTCAGCGTATGCAAAATGTTCCCTAATTTATTTAAATGATCTGTTGTACATTTAGATCATTTAAAATTCTTCAGTAGTGCAAAGAACACTAAAATGACTTCTATATCCAGTTAATGGTCATATGTTAATTTCTTCTTTAGGATAAATTCCTGTAAGTAGAATTGCTAGATCAGAGTTTGCAAACGTTTTTAAAAGCTTTTTCTGATATTTATTGTCGAGTTGTCCTCCAAGTATTTCATATAACCCTCTTTACACTCCCACTATCAGTGGATATTGCTCTCTTTTTTATCAAGCATATGAACAAAAGTATTCTGATATTTTAATTTTAGTTTCTTCAGTTATTGCTTAAGTACCTTTTCCCGCCTTGTTCCTTAGTCACTTGTATTTCTTTTGGAGGAAATTGCTAGTCCCCCTCCTCTGTTACTGTTCTGTTTACAGTGTCAATTTTTTTCTTCATTCATTTGAATTCTCCACACATTGAAATGTTAATCATTTATTATGTGCTTCATAAGTCTAACTCTTCTTTTAGGTAGAGGTTTTTTTGTTTTTTGTTTTTAAACTTGATTATATTTATTTAACTTATTTGTTAATTACTATAAGACAGATAGAGGGATGCTATGATCATTGATCCTTCTGAGGGCAGGTTTGGGTTCTGAGGCAACTGAGTGCTACCCACTCACTGATGCCCTGTCCCTTCCAGTGTGATGAGAGTGGGCAGATTCCCTAGGCAGAGCTGGGTTCCTCAGCTTCCTTGTGAATCAGGACAGCCCCACATGCCCTATACCCTTCACAAATAAAGATCTTTATCTCTTCTCTGCAATAAAATGTGTTTGAGAATTAATATTGTTTTATAACATGTGACCCAAAGAATTTTAAGTTGCCCTTCCTAAGATGTATATCTTGAAATGTTGTTTTTTAAAAAAATTGATTTCTTAAAGGTTTTCAGTATTCTTGCAGACTGTCACAAAGGATCTGAAAGGTTTTGCAGGTTCAGAATAACTCAGATTAAATTGTAGTTTTAAGCTTTTGCTGAATTTGACTCACATTTATATTTTTGTTCCATGAAAACATTTATATTCATGGCTCATAATTCAAGACAGATTTGTTTTTTGTAATCTGCCCATGACATCCACACTGTCTCCAAATATCCTTTCTCTTCCTCAGATGTTAGCTAAGTGATAGTTTTCTGGATTTCTAGTAAATGTCCTGCTGGTTGCCAGATTATGTCAATGCAGGGCCATCTGGTACCACCTTTTTCCAGCTGTAAACACTCCAATAATAAATATGAAGAATGGTCAAAATCACTAGACAACCAGAATCGACGATAGCATGAAAAATCTGTGCATAGTTTGGGTTGGAAGAGCCCTGATTTTTTCCATCCTACATTTTTGTGATTTCCTGCTATTAGTGTGTTATTAACACAGGCCTCATGTGGATGTAGGCTCCAGAGGTTGGGGGAGGAAATCCTTCATTCTGTTTCAGTAGCTTGAAGCTGATCATGATAACATGATTCTCCCAGTTCTATTCAAATGTTGGCCAGCTGCCAAGCGCCCACGCTTGGCAAGGAGCGTTTTGCTGTCAAGGCTAATTTCGCCTTCTAATTTCGGAATTTATTTATTTTTTGTTATACTGCACTAGGGACATAATTTTAAAAATGATTTTCTTGATGAGAGTCTGATATTTTCCACAGGTTTTGGACTCGATTATTGCATTTCAAAATACATTGATACTACCAATAACAGGACAAACTGAAGGAAGTTGGTCATTTAAACAATCATAGAAGTTGCCTCCAGAAATTAACCTATTCTATGGACCATTGCAAGTTCCTTTTATCTAACACAATTAATCAAATCTCTGCCTCCTTCACTGCAAAGCTCTTGTCTCTTACCTCTTTGATAGTATTGACCTCGCTAGATTATGATTATTCAACTGTCTGAGTCTCCCACTGGACTGGCTTTGAGAGGGTAAAAGAGTATCCCCTGGGTCTCAGAAGCCCACACCTGGTATACAGTAGGCCTTAAATAAAGATTTGTTGTATTGAATAAATACTCCTCGTGTAGCACTGGCTTTTCATCCTGGAATTTATTTAGCTTCTTTCGTGGTGGTCTTTGAACTTTTTGAGGGCAAAGAATGGGTCTTATTTACACATACCTCCTGAATCCCCAGCATTTGATAAACACGTTATGAGCGTTTAATAAATGTTGAGTTGATGGCCAAGACATTCTTCCATGTACTTAAGTAAAACATTTTCCCCTCCCTGGCTCTGAGTCTTCTCTCTACGAACCCAAATGGACACTCACCATCAAGAAATGGCTCAGTAGCCTTTATTGGACACACACTGGAGTTGGTTCTCTGTAACTCTCCAAAGCTGAAGCATGAGGTATTAACCCCTCCATGAGTGCCATGCACCAAACATTCTAAACGTGGAGCAGAGTACTGCTCCAGTGTGGGGTGGTACTTGTAACCCTCAGCTTTTGTTTTTTTTCTTGGAGTGCCTCCTTGGGTCCTGCAGCCGTGACCAGTTCTGGCCTGACCCTCGCCCCTTATCCTGATGAAGGCTCTGTCCATGCGCACACAAAAACCCCGTTCCCTGTTTCCCTTTCGGGTGGTTAAGATAGGCTGGGATTTTCACGAAGAATTTTACTGAAAAACAAGAAAAACAGAATGATTTATGAAAGTATACCCACCTTAGAAATAGCCATATTTCCAAAATATACGATTTAGAACCATGGACTTTCAGTAGAAACACGAAGAGCTTTGCAGTATCCATATCCCAGTTATCTGAAGAATAATCATCAGTGATAATTGTGTGTATTGACCTCTTTGAATCGCAGGGAGGGACCAGCCTCTTCTGGGCTCCCATTTTGAAGTGACCTGATGAAAATCTACCCACCACAAGTGCCTGACTAATAGGCCTTTTCATTTCCTGTTACCCACAGATGGTAGACCATACCTCTCTCTGCAGAGAATAATCTTACCCTCCTCATGTGTTCATTCTTTGTTTTTTGAGGTGGTATTATCAGTTTATTTCAGTTGACTTTAACTTGAACCATTTATGTTATGTATATAAATAGTGTATAAATTATCAGTTTTTCCTTTTGATTGCTTCTTCCATTGTGTACATGTCATTAGCTCTTTGTAAAGTCCATTTCAATCTAAATTTTGCCTTGAATATAATATGTTAAGTAGAGCAGTACATTCCTGTATTAACTTCCAAGTACTTTCAATAGCCTAAAGTATCTGAATTTGCATCTGCATCCTTTCAATACTGTACATTAAGGCAAGAATCAGCTGGCAGGATTAAGAGAAGGATGAAAATGATCAGTTAGACTGCTTGCATCATTTTAAGACTTCAAAGTAAAATCCTTTCCCTCCACATCATTAGAAGTAGAGAAAAATGGAGTTGATTCTGTTTCTTTCTCCTGCTCGGTGAGTTGGTCGTGTCTGTGACTAACCTTTTCTTCCTGTCAAAAGACCATCCTAGAGCTGCCTTTTGGGGACAGGGCTTATGGTTAACCTCAGTCCTGCAAGTTGATGGGGCTGCTAGACCATTTAAAGAAACTCACAAACCTCATTTTTTGGTTCCTGGAGTGGAAACTGAGCCTGGATCTCATCAATGTTGCAGGGGTGAATAGCCTTTCTCAGTCACTCAGTGCCAATCTGTTGACCGCCACCACTCTTAACCATCTGGACCTCTCAGGGAACATCCTTCGCGGAGATGACCTCTCGGTAGGTTTTCTTTTTCTTACTGCCATCCTCAAAGAAGCCGTACTTACTAACCCTGGAGTAATTTCGAAACATATTTCCCCACATCTCCCTTTATCATGACACCTTCAAATCATTTAGTCATGAGCTTATGAAGAGTTTTAGAGAAATGTTCCAGAGCCTTCCTTTACTAAATGTAGCCTATTCTAGAGATTTTATCCCCCCTCACTTAAGATTGTTGAAGTTTAAATTCTTTTTGGGAATACTTTTTCTGAAGGAATTTTTTTCTCCACTTCAAAACATTATTGCACCTGTTAAAATTGCCTGATAAGAAAGATTGGAAATGTAAAATGAATTATTTCATCATTAAATAATATTGTTAAGAAGACTGGTGGCTTTATAAAAACATAGTTTGTGATGGAAAGGGGATATTGGGATGAACTTCAGTCCCATATTCCATGATTACCGTAGAGAGGGGGAGGGTTAGGAGTCAGCTGTGGCTACTCTTGAAAGTTTGAGTGTGAAGGCAAAAAGTTTCCCCTCAACTATAACAAGATCTTTCATGCAGCTGAATCAGTAATATAAGTGTTTGGCAGATCTTATTGATACAGTGAATTAGGTATGATCTCATTGCCAGATGGTGTGAATAGTCCTCTCTAGTCACAGGATAGAATTTAGAAGAAATGCTCCCTTAACAATGGGGTGGGACCCACAGCACATGGACCTCTTCAAAGGACCTTAATTTACATCCATTGCTTTATGGGAGTGAAAAACACTGTGACATGTATTCTCATTTCTCTTCTGTTTTCCTTTCCCTGTAAGACAGGGAATGTTGCCACAGCCCCCTTTGTAGTTATTTTCCTCTCCCTTACACTTGAACTCATTTACATAATATTAGTACTTGCTTCCTGGTGTGCCATGACGTTTTCAGTGTGTTGTCCAATTGTAGTTGTCACTTGCACTGATGATTCATAAATCTGCTCCCTCCCAAGATGAAACAAGGAGTCCGATGTGAAACCACCAAAACATTACAGTGACAAACTAGCAGAATAGAGAGAAAGGTAAAAGAAGAGCCTGAAGATTAAACAAGAAGGCTGATAACATAGGGGCATTGATAGTCACCCAAAACAGCAAAGTAGCCAGCCAGGAGTCCTGTCCCAGCTTGCCTCTGCGGAAGGGCAAGTGGAATGTTGAAGCCGAGTGACAGTGGGCTTCTAGCCCCGACAGGCTGAGGTTCTGAGAGCCATTCAGCAGGTGCAGGGAGGGGCTTACCTGGCCCTGTGCTTTCCAGGAGAGCAGCCTAGCAGGGACTGCTGGAGAAGTGTTGGCCAGGTTGGGTCTTGTCACCACTTGAGGGTGATTAGAGCTTCCCCAGCTGGTGGCCAGGAGTAAAATCACAGTGCCAGGCAAAGACAGAGAATCAGATCTTCATTAAGTCAGAACAAGATTATTTTTCTGAATCAGAACTTTTCATAATACAGTACATTGTATGTCTGGTTATTCTAAAATATTTACAGGCCAGTCTTTTGCTATTCTGAATTCCTTGGTCAAGAGGAGTTTTTCTCATGCATCTATAGCTAAGCTGCTACACTTAGGAGTCTTTGCCAAGGACTAGGACCTCTCAATGTAAGCTTGTTTGTTTTCGCAAGTATCTCGTGGCATCCAGTGAAGCAAAGCAGAATTTAGCTATTTGCCTGGTGGCAGGAGCTTGGATTTGGTGTGCTATTGGTGGATGCTGGCAGTTACTACTCACACAGGGCTATTAGAGAATAACAGAGAGTTGTTAATTTTATTGTTTTGATAGCCTTGCACAGGGATGAGGGTATATTTTAGGCATTGTGACACTCTAGAAACTGAAGGGTCTTAGTTATAAGTGAGATTAAGAAAAAAAAAAAGCCTAATAGTGTTGTCAGGCCCTTTCTTGTTAGATTTTGGAAGTAACTAAGGATAGAAAAATTATTTTCTTGAACTGAAGAGAGTATAGCCCGAGACCACCGTCCTGTGGTTCAAATTCAAATTAGTGGCTCCTTAAACACTTTCAAAAGTGATTAGCATTTTGATAGGGTGGCTGCAATTCAGGTGGTATTTCAATCTCAGCAGTTAAAATTAATTAGCACTGTTCCAAATTGTGTAATAAAAATGGAGCTAATCAGGAAAACTGAGTCATGTGTAACAAAAAGGGGGTTTGGTAGCCAAGACTCCATTTGGCCTTTTTTAAACTTAAACATACTTTAAAATATTCTTTGGGATTTTGCTCTCAGGGAAGGTAATGGAATGACAGAAAATTCTGCCATCCTCTTGGGAAGAGTAGAGGATGATCCTCAGTGGATTTGGGCAACTTGATTTTAAAATATTAACTTAACATCGTGTGTGCACGCGTGAGTGTGTGCATGTGTGTTTCTGGATCCTAACATATTTGGTTTTCGCTTTTTATTCAAGTCCATGTACAGTTTTTTGGCCCAGCCAAATGCCATTGCTCATCTGGATTTGTCCAATACAGAATGTTCCCTGGACATGGTAATACTTTTTTATATTGCTCGGGGGGGTCACAAATATGGGGGTCCCATATTTAGATGGGAAACAATGGGCTTTCTTCCCAATAAAATATTCTCCAAGTCCTAGAAATATTTGAAAATAAGAGAGCCTTGTTTCTTTCCCAGGTCTGTGGAGCTCTTCTCCGTGGCTGCCTTCAGTATTTAGCTGTGCTCAATCTCTCCAGAGCTGTGTTTTCTCACCGGTATGGATTTATTCCTGCTATCATTATCATATCTTTCTCTCAGAGAAAGTTGTAGTGAGATGAAAACGGAGTGATAAAGGGTGAATGTTGTGCATGAAAGGAGATGGTCCTAAATCATTATCTCTGAATATTAGACCTTGAAAATTCAAGTTTTTATTATATCTTTTTTCCCTGCAGGACAATGTTCTTATCAATAACTCCAGACTGCCTAAATGAACAATGTAATAATGTACTGTTTCTCATATGTGGACAGGCATTCTCTCTTAATATGGTAAAGACCCCTTTTAGAAACTTCTATGGGTGTTTCTCAATAATGCACTTTGAATTAAGTATCAACTGTGTCTGGAAGATAAAGAGAATCGTCACCCCAGAGCTCATGCATTCTGATTTGTAGAAGTGGGGGGCCCGCCTAAGTACCTCACATCTACCTTCCCGACTTAGAATTGTTTGCAAAATCCAGCAGTAGATTAGAAGCAAAGTATTCACACACAGCAGCAACTTAGAATGGCAGAATGCAGAAAAATCATGAAAAGTACATGGTTTATGTAACTGGAATTCTGGAACCATCTAGTGTATTAATACAGTTCAACACTTAACCATTTGTAATTATTACCACAAGTCGTAAACCATATTTTAGTCATTATATGCTCTTTAATAACATGGAGAATTGCTTAATATTAGAAATACCTCCTTTTTTATTGGTTAACTTTTTGAAAACTTTACATATTCAAAGGGATAACAGTCACTTGTTTGGAAAATTCACAATTCAGCATGCTTTATTCTACAATTATGCCTCATAGTGAGTTATTCTATATTTTAAAGTATTCTTGGTCCATTACTTCTACAGTATGTAAATGTCTACAATAGCAAAAATATGCCACATGTACCTCAATAGGATAAGATCAGAGAGAGTAAAATGTAGGAGATAAAATGGTGGGCGAAGTTGAGAGTTTTCTAAGATACTTTATTTCAAAGGCCTTAGAGGGTATTAACTTGACCACCCAGACCACTCATGTATTTGAAGTCAGCTTATGAAGCCATGCTTTGGTGGAGCTATAATAGACTGAGGAACTGGGTTAGAAATGATATCATAGGCGATAAGGATTTTCATCTAATTAGCTCTTTTGAATTCATACTACTGTGAATTCTGTGATGACTGGTCCTAAGTAGAGCTATTAAGCTTATAGAGCTTAGCATTTTGATAGGGTGGCTGCAATTCAGGTGGTATTTCAATCTCAGCAGTTAAAATTAATTAGCACTGTTCCAAATTGTGTAATAAAAATGGAGCTAATCAGGAAAACTGAGTCATGTGTAACAAAAAGGGGGTTTGGTAGCCAAGACTCCATTTGGCCTTAGAGGGAATTGTGCTAACAAATTTCCTTGTCTTCCAAATGAGAGGTTGTGATTAAACTGTTTAGTACCCACTACCTTACCTAGATATAACCATAGAAAGCCCTTGGTAATTATGTAGAAATTGCTGCATTTACACTGAGTTGTGGATTGTTAGTCAGACTATTCATACTTTGGTTCACAGATAATTTCATAAGTGTAGCAGTCAGGATAGGTCAGGTTGTTCCAGTAACAAATGATCCCCCCAACCCACCACCCTCTCCACAGCTTTCAGCAACAGCAGTTTTGTGACATGTCCCTTATGGGTTAGCCACATCACTCTGGGAGGCAGAGCAGCCTCTTTCTAGTACGTTGACAGTCACATAGTAGAGGAGAAAGAATCATGGTAAAACTTGTCTCTGGAAATCACACACATCACTTCCACTCACATCCCATTGTACTTCAGGGAATACAAGGCAGGTTAATTTTTTTGTTTTTCCTGAGATTTTGGCTGCTAGCCACCCTCAATTTATTCATGTTACCAAGACCCCATTTCTGAAGTCTGCCAAAGTCTGCTCATCAGAAAAAGAATGTATATATATGTATAACTGAGTCACTTCGCTATACAACAGTAATTAACACAACATTGTAATTCACCTTTACTTCAATTATTCAATTAAAAAAAAAGAAAAAGAAAATGAACATGATATACAAGCGTCTGTCGGGGACCAGAGTTGTTTTGAAACGTCTAATATGTATTCTACCAGAATTCTCTTTCCTCTTAAGTGTATTTTTCATCCTCTTAAATAGATATTCTGGTTGCTTAGGTATTTCTTCTCAGCCTGAAATTGTCCTGTTTTAAAACCTTTTTCAAATATTGACAGGTTTCCTAGACCTCTATACATAAAATATTGTTGAATGTTCTGTGGTTGAATTCGACCCCTAGGACGGCCTCTGCCCGAGAGTCTATGATTCCCTCCACAGAATATGAATAACTGTCATTGAATAAGTGTTTACAATGCATCAGGCTAAGTGCTGTACTTACTCAGACCTTCCAACAATTCTATCAGATAGAACAAAACAAACAAAGCGTTCGTATTCCAATTTTGACTCTGGAATCTTTTCTTAAATCCTCATAGTGTTGACTCTGTCTTCTTATTGAGTTGTATGATTTGATTCATATACTTCCCACTGGAATAGCAAGGGGACGTATTTGGAGGTTATAAGCATTTCTTTTTGGAGTTTTGTCTTTATTCTAATATTTGGCCTGAAATAATTAGATCTGTGGTATGGATATAAGAGCCGAGTAGGATATTTGTCATGCAGGCTTCTTGCCAATCAGACTTGACATCTGGTCACAATCCCGTTGCCGTCTGAGACCTGCTGCATCTGAAAACATAGCCAAACACAGGTAGTGATCCTTAACAATCTGATGCCACCCAGTGGGAAGGCTCTTTAAATTGGTGAGAAATATGTATCTTCTTTGACTTATTTCTTAAAAATTCAAATATGGAGTTTCCTGAAGAACTAGGGGGTGGAACACAATGAGTTCTTTGGCTACAAAGAATAGGAATAAAATGTTTTAAAGACTTAATGACATTTCTTAACCTCTCCTACGTAATTTTCGAAAGTACACTGAATTAATTTATTTAACTTTCAGACATTTTGTTTCTTTTTACCTTTAAATTTCTGATGAAACACAACCAGTTCATGGATTATTTCACAGTGTTTGAATTTACCGATGAATAATTGTGCCAGTTTGGAAGTGGGGTGCAGAGATGGAAGTTTAACTGCATGTAAGACTCTCATGTTTTGTTTTTCAGGAAAGGAAAAGAAGTACCCCCATCCTTCAAGCAGTTTTTTAGTAGTTCTCTGGCTCTGATGCAAATCAACCTCTCAGGCACAAAACTGTCTCCTGAGCCCTTAAAGTGAGTGGCGAATTCATTTTCTCCAGAGCTTTTTAAAGTTCAATTTGTTATTAGGAATGTGCTTGAGGGAAGGGAAAAAGACGTACAATCCTAAGACAGACAAGGCAGATAAAAATGCCTTTTTACTTTGGGTCCCAAAGGAAGTCAGATTCTTTCTGAGTACGTTGTACGCTGTTGATACTATTGCATCTTCTATGAAAAAAAAATCTTCCTTCGGTTTGTGACCTTGGCAGTAGTCACTGATCTGTAAAAGTTGTGTTTCTGGGTACTATCACCTTTCTGTTGACCTCTGTTCAGTCCATTTTAGGTATATTCTTGTGTGCGTTTTAAAATCTATTCTCAATATTTCTACTAACATTAATAATCAAGGGCTATACACGTGTGTGCAACAGAAACAATTTTTAGGTGCTTTGTTTTCTGAATTACCTAGGTATCTATTTGTTCGGTATTATTACTTGGCAGGCAACTTATGGGTTAATATCCTCAGTGTAGGTGTTGTGGTAGAGTTGAACTTTTTAGAATAATTTGTTATCCTTGAATTTCTTTTCACCATTGCCAGAAATAATCAAAAGGACTATAGAATCTAATTCTCTCTGAGTCAAAAGAACATTTTCAAGTAGTTACGAATATCTATGCTGTCAGGTATGTTCAAATGTATGCACAGTTTTCTCCTTTCCTCAGCTGACATGTAAATCAGCATTCGATGTGTTCCCTTGCAATTTGTATGAAATGTTAAAATCAATGTCTGCTATTAGTTCTACTAGAAAATTAATCATCTAATTTATAAATTGCCTTTTCTGTTCTTTTTGAGAGGTGTGAAATTCTTGATTAGTTTTCTACAAAGTACCATATGACTAAAACAATGGATGCCTTTAAGAACAGTTGATCCACCTGTGCAAAAAAAAAAAAAAATCCTGATGTTATAGCGGCCTGTTTTTTTTAAAAAAGAGGAAGAATCGAATCTTTGTAATAGAGATCTCTAAATATAACAGCTGCAAATTGTAAAAACATGATTAGGCTGTTTGTATGGATGTTAATAAAGCTGTCATCATCAGTATTCTAAAGAGGATCCATTATAATTTAACCATATTCATTCAACTGATATTTATTGAGCATTTACAACAGACTAGATGCCAGGAAGGCACTGAATAGAAAGCAAAGCCAGACTTGCTTTTATCACATCATATCAGTGGGAGATTAGCATATTCAAAGTAGTTTTAGTGATAGGTACATGGTATACTAATTCAATGTTGCTGGTTCCTGTAAAATATAGAGTAGTTCTTCATTGATTAGTACAATTGATTTTATAGAATAATCCTCACCACAACAACACTGGATTTACTGTACTTATTATAGGTAAGTGTTAAATCTTGTGACCTGTTGTTATTTATGTTAATGTTTAATAATAAATCAGTACTGGCAGACCTCGGAGATGTTGCAGGTTTGGTTCCAGATCACTGCAATGAAGTGAATATCGCAATAAAGCGAGTCACACGAATTTGGGGGTTTCCCAGTGCATTTAAAAATTATGTTTACACTATAGTGTAGTTTATTAAGTGTGCAATAGCATTATGTCCAAAAAATGTACATATCTTAAATAAAAAACACTTTATTGCTAAACAATGCTAACCATCATCTGAGCCATCAGCGAGTCGTAATCTTTTTGCTGGTGGAGGGTTTGAAATATTGTGAGAATTACCAAAATGTGACACAGAGACATGAAGTGAGCAAATGCTGTTGAAAAAGTGACACCAATAGACTTGCTTCATGTGAATTGCCATAAACCTTCAATTTGTAAAAACATGCAATATCTGTGAAATGTAATACGATGAGGTATGCCTGTAGCCTCTTCGGGTCTGTGTTTTACTCAGTAAAAATGTTAATATGAGGAAAAAGGCTTCATGGCCAAAGATTCTGTAAACAAAATTCTGGATGTACATTTAATGTGATAATATAATTTGAAAAGATATAACAAAACTGAGGTGCTTGGGTTTGCCTGTGAGGGGGTGAGGATGGAAGGGAACTTGCCAAGCACTGCCCTAAGTTAGACACACAACTGGGTGCTTACCCACAAACTGTCACCTGCAGTGTTGACAACAGCCGTGGGAAGGTATCATTATCCCTATTTTACAGCTGAGGAAATTGAAGCTCAGAGAAGCTAAGTAATTTTTGAAAACTCAATGCCATCGCAGGTTGGGTTTTCTGGGAAGCCAAGTGAAAGATGGAGATTAGCATGTAGGATGTTTATTAGGAAGTGCTCTTGCAATCCCACCTGTGGAGGGGGAGCAGGAAGAAAGCAGGATGGGACAGAGGGCAAGTTGAACTGGGGCTATCACAGTGAAGACCTCAGCCAACCCGATGGGAGCTTTGTTGCTAGAATGTCCCTGAGCTGGGCGACAAGGCTGGGCCTTTATACCCCTGTGTTGATCAGTCCTTGGATACAGGCTGCCCCAGAAGCAGATGTGACCTTGGGCGAGGCACTTGTCTTGGGTTGAGGCAGCCCCCAAAGAGGACCGACAGCTGAGGGGGCTCTGGGAGGTACATTGCAGAGTCCACTGCTGTCAGCCAGCGGACACTGGCTCAATCCTGTTCCTAAACCCACATTTTATCCCCAAGCACCAAGAGGGGCAGAGGGAGGCCCTCATTTCTTAAAGGGAGTTCAGTAGCCATAAGAGAGTAAGCTAAAGAAATGCAACTTCTCTTGATGTAATTGCTTATTTCATAGTTGTGTTTTCCTTGGAGGCTCTTTTCTGTCCACATTAAAGTATTTCAGGGCTTTTTAAGAACATGGTGACGCTGCCAGAGCCGTGGAGATGAAATACAAATTCTTCTGTTAGACCTACTAGAGAATGGACTTGAGGATATGGGGAGGGGGAAGGGTGAGCTGTGACAAAGTGAGAGAGAGGCATGGACGTATATACACTACCAAACGTAAAATAGCTAGCTAGTGGGAAGCAGCCACATGGTACAGGGAGATCAGCTCAGTGCTTTGTGGCTGCCTGGAGGGGTGGGACAGGGAGGGTGGGAGGGAGGGAGACGAAAGAGGGAAGAGATATGGGAACATATGTATATGTATAACTGATTTACTTTGTTATAAAGCAGAAACAAACAAACAAATTCTTCTGTTAGTCAGTTTGGCACTAATGATTGAGGACCAAGAGGATGGCGCTGTGAAGGCAGTTCACTCTGGGTTAAAATAAACAACACACCTTGTGATGGAGTTTTCCCCCAGAGCCTGCGATGCTTTGTTGTAGTTGTTCTGTTTTGTTTTACTAGGGACAGTTTCTGTGGGTTATTTATATTTGCCTCATGAGTCATTACCTCTTAATCATTGGCCTTCTGTAGTTATGTATCTTAAAGGACACCATTTATTTCCTTGTCCTTAACCTACTCGTCAGAAAAGTAGGAAGAGTTTTCCCTCCATCTAAGCATTATACAAATACAATGTTCAAATATGTGGCTAAGTCCTAGAAACTGAAAACTTAGAAGTGTAGGGACCTCTTTGGTAATGTCCTGACTCTCCCATTTTGCTGATGAGAACCTGAGACACAGATAGGAAAAGTGATGTCCTTCAGGCTACCCAATGCTCAGTAACAGAATCAGGACCTGAGGACAGGCCTTTTGGTTCTTAGTACCAGTAGCTTTCAGTAGCTCAATACTGCCCGCAAGAAAGAAAGGGCGAAAAGGCACTTTTTAGGAAAAGAGAAACGCTTGAATAATTAATTGAACAGAGGCACACACACAGATGAGACATGCCCAACCTTTTTCGTAGGATAGTGTTTTAGAAGAGGGGACAGCGAACTGGATTAAAGGAACGAAGAGACACGCAGTCCCCTCGACCTTCTTACCCCCAGGGGTTGTTTTCGCAGCTGGGAACAGCCAAGTTCTTGCGCTCTGCCCACTTCGGGGATTCTCTCTCAGTGGATGAGACCATAGAATCACTGGATGGGGGAAAATCTCAGAGACTTTGGCATGAAGTAATTCCCTACTTTCCCACCTCCCCCTTCCCCTGGGGTATTTTTGGAGTCTGCTAGTAGAGGTGCCTTTCCTGGGAACATTGAGAACAGGTAGTCACCCCCAGGTGGCAGTTGCCTTGGTTCTACTCTCTAGTATTTACAACTGTCTGCCTTGCATTATGGTTATTTGCACACATATTTGTTTCCTTTGCTTGAGATTGGCAACCCTCTCATGCTCATCTTTGTACTCCTCACAGGGCCTAGTTGAGGGTCTCTTTTCCTTTCGGTGTAATTAATGGATGTGGGTGCATGTATGAAATTTTTGTTTCAGGCCTATTCAGTGGTGTTGGATTTTATAGGACTGACTTGTAAAAGTGGAGTCAATTCATTCTCTTACATATGAGATCCATATGATGAGTCCAGTCTCCTCCATAAGCAGATAAGAAAAATCCTTTGCAGAGTGGTGATGGTGTTTATCCTGTGACCAGCTAGTAGTTGGGTAGACAGGATCCTGCACTCAAACTCAAGACTAGTACCTTATCTTCCATGCTGTACACCCTTACCCATCCCACCTCTGCAAGTCCTTTAACAAACTCATCTAGATATGATTTCACATCCTGGAATACTCTAGAGCCTGCCTTCCCCCATTAACATAACCCTTAGGGAAAACTAGCTTTACTTTGCTATTCTAATCACAATTGCTTAATGATACTCTAAACATTATGAAAGGTGTTCTCAAGGAGATGCAGGGGGCAGTTTATCTGTGATGAACACAATTTAATTTCTGTGTGCAATTAGGAGCACTGTTGGTTTATTTCCTTAGGAATTAGCCACCCTGTTGGGTTTCGCATTTATGAGGGACCTGCTCCGTGTCAAACAGAAGAGTGTTTCCCTGTCATTTTTGTCACTACTCTTGGTGGGCGGAAATGCAGTTGGCATTTTAAAAAGTGAGACGCTGCTTGGTGCTTGACCTATGATTCAGAAAAGGCCTTCTTTCTCTGGGTTTTGTTCAGTGTGCTTACACATTTTTAGAGCAACAAGTGGAAGTTTTATCTAAAGTGTGTGTGTTTCCTCCCCTCAGAGCGCTGTTATTGGGCCTGGCTTGTAATCATAACTTGAAGAGAGTTTCTCTTGATCTCAGCAACTGTGAGGTAAGAACACCTTTAGATGATGCACTAGAATAGATAATAGCCTGAAAACTGCTTTGTCTTTTTCCTGGAAACAGTGTGATACTGTGATTCCAGACGGTATACAAGAAGCAGAATAACACACTTTATAGAAATTTCTGATGTTCTGTATATTGCGAGTTTTATCTACAGACAGCCATGGAACACCATTCAGAAAGCAGTCAAATGTGCTTTTAATGACTTTTCTTTTTCTCCCCTTCTTCATGCCAATTGCTTAAGTATTTTATGATGAAACTTGGAGATATCAAGCCTTAAACTAGCTTTACCATCAGGAAAATTGTACCATACAGCCTTCCTTGCAGGGGCCAAGATGTGTACAGCCTAACTTGGATTTGGAGAGTGTGAAAGGGAAGATCTTTGTCATTAATTTTGCTTTTTAATATCTTCATTTTAAGGCAGGAAAATTAAGATGCTTCTCAAAATTATAGTAACTACAAGCAGTTTCTATCAAAGTACACACAGAAGAATTGAGACTAAAAGCTTCTACATTTTAGAGGGTACCTGAACTTTTTCGCTGTCTTGAAACTTTTAGTTTGCGTGGAGATTAGTAAGAAAATACCCGGGTACAAACTATCCAGCCTCTTTAGAGCCTGACTTTACCCACCATGTCAAACTTGGTGCCTTTTCTCAGGGCTGGAGGTGGGAGTTTATTCATTCCTATTCTTGGGCCTTTATACCCACTCTTCTCTCTTTCTGGAACACACCTGCCATGTCCCTCTTTTTCCCCAAGGCCTCCCTCTCTTTGAGGATCTAGTTCAGGTGCTGTCTCCTCTGTACCTGCATCAGATTCCTACTGTTTGATCTGAGTTTGGCCATGACTAGCTATGCAATCCTGGGTGAATTACTTGATAGCGTTACATCTGAATTTCTGCATTTGCGAAAAGGAAACAACATTAATGCCTCTCCTAGTAGGTTGTTATGAGGTTTAAAAGAGCTCTTCTTTGAAATGTGATGCTTAGATCGTCCGGTACCTATAAAGGTTGTTCCCTATTGTTGCTTATCTGTCTGTACATTTCTTCCCTGACTGCTTCAGCACTTTGTGGTCTTATTTTTTTCTAATTGTCTAGTACTTAATGACAGTGACATGCATTTGGACACCAAACCACGTGTAGTGCCTTGCACAATTATTAAATTGGCTCCTGTATGCTTTCCCAGCTGGGTTGTGGCTTTATGGAAGGCAGTATTTGTGTCTTACTTTGTGTTTCCTTTAGCCACTAACAAAATGCTGAGCAGTAAGCCAACACTAAATATTGAAGATTAATGCTTTACCTCTCTGAAAATTCTAGAAACTGACAAGTCTGAAATCAGCCATATAAATTGTTAGTGCAGGATATTTAATTAATTTTGAGCTGGGGTGAAAGCCAACTGTGTGTGATTTACTAGTCTTTTTGTTTGTTGGGGGGAGTGGGGGGAAGGGAAAATCCTAAAAACCTAACCTGGCATTGTGAAATTTTCATGTGCAAATTAATGCTTTTTCATTTATAAAGACAGACCGTAAAACAGAAACTAACTCTGGTAATATGAATTAATTATTTGTTTACCAGCACTTAATATTAAGGACATGCCGGTAATAAAAATTCCTTATGAGGGAAGGCGTAAGACGAATGAGGATAGAAAGGGTTACTCTATTAAAAAAACAGGTTGGTATAACCTTGATTGCTGTTAGATCAAAATACTGAATTAGCAGTAACCCATATGCTTTACTATCCTGATTAAAGATCATGATTGCTACCAATATAACATCATTCATTTAATTCTGTAATCAAAGCTGGAATGGACATAAGTGATCATCTGATTCTCATGCTTATTGATGAGGAAACTGAAGTCTAAAGAAGCTGGAATAATCCAGCTCACTAATGGCAGAGTCATAATCAAAGTATGCTCTCCCGATTGTTGTTAATACTAGTAATTATTAGAATATTATACAATTAGACATTTTCTTCTCAAATAAGTTGATAGGTACCATATGCCCAAAGAACACTGTGTTAGATTGTCACACAGCTTCCTTTCTCAACTCCTTTGTGATCCTATTCAGAATAACTTTCAGAGACAGTTATATTTGGTGAACCATATAAAACTGATGTTTTTGTGGGTCAAAAATGGCAGACAACTATGGAGAACAGTATGGAGGTTCCTTAAAAAACTAAATATAGAACTACCGTATGACCCAGCAATCCCACTACTGGGCATATACCCTGAGAAACCCATAATTCAAAAAGAGTCATGTACCACAGTGTTCACTGCAGCACTATTTACAATAGCCAGGACATGGAAGCAACCTAAGTGTCCATCGACATATATTGGAATATTACTCAGCCATAAAAATATATGAAATTGAGTTATTTGTAGTGAGGTGGGTGGACCTAGAGTCTGTCATACAGAGTGAAGTAAGTCAGAAAGAGAAAAACAAATACCACATGCTAACACATATATATGGAATCTAAAAAAGAAAAAGGTTCTGAAGAATCTAGGCTAGGGGCAGGACAGGAATAAAGATTCAGACGTAGAGAATGGACTTGAGGACACGGGGAGGGGGAAGGGTAAGCTGGCACGAAATGAGAGAGTGGCATGGACATATATACACTACCAAACGTAAAATAGATAGCTAGTGGGAAGCAGCCACAGAGCACAGGGAGATCAGCTCGGTGCTTTGTGACCACCTAGAGGGGTGGGATAGGGAGGGTGGGAGGGAGACGCAAGAGGGAGGAGATATGGGGATATATGTATATGTATAGCTGATTCACTTTGTTATAAAGCAGAAACTAACACACCATTGTAAAGCAATTATACTCCAATAAAGATGTTAAAAAATATTTTACACAAATGGAAGAAAAAAATGGCAGACTATTGGCAGTTTCATATGGATCCATCAAATGGCTAGTAGACTTTTTCCTTTATAATTTTTCTTAATAAAGCAGGAATCCAGATCAAATTCTGATGGTAGGATTGACCATTATTGTGATGATAATTCCAACTTCATTTTGACCATTCATTTATGAATTACATGATAAAATGATGCTGCTGAGATGGGGACCCCTTAATACTACCTTGGTGCCATGTTCCACCATCTTACAGCTTGAATCACAGTACTGGTGACCATGTTTATTAAGTCACACATTGTATTGCTGCTCATGAAAATTAATGAAACACAAAATTAATTTTGTAAATTAAGGTGTCTTGTGACATTTTTCTTCTTAAAGCTAGATGTCCAAATTTAACTAGGTTTCACTTTGCTCATCTCCATGATGCAGTAAACCTGTTTCCTATAAAGGTACTAGAAGTTACAATATTTTCTGTTTAGAATGCTTGGCACTTAGAGTATTAACTACTACTCCTTAAATCATTCATTGCTTCAGAATTTATGTAATGCTCTTGGAAAAAAGCTTTCACTAACTTGGAAGTTTAAAATTATGCATATGTGAATTTTTTCTGTTCATTCTCTATTTAGCCACAGTAGACACAGCCTTCTTTACTCTTATTATCATGCCAGTCAAAACCATGGAAGAATTCATCACTTAATGATGAATAAAAAGAAACTGATGATCAGATAAATGCCCCCACCTGTGGTGGGTTGGGGGGAAAGAAGCTTCACCCTGATGCCATAATCATCTCGGGAAGTCATTTCTACAGGGGTGGCTTACTCAAGGTGAGGGACTGACAGACCTAAAAGGTCAAATGTCTGTTGTATAATACTGGGGAGTTTCAGATGTGGGCACTGTATGAGTTCAGTGCCCCCTACAGATAGATACCTCTAAGTACAATAGTCTACCCAAACCATGGAAGCAAAGAACAAATGTGAAATACGTTGAAAATTTTTTTCATATTTATAAATAGATTACTTATTTTATTATAAAACAGCTGCTCTCCACTGGTTAACTTTAAAATTAGGTTTATATGGATGTCATAGAAAGTAAACGACCATCATCTAAAATCGTGGTTGAGTTTATTTGGAGGAGAGAGACTGTAACCTTGAAACAGGAATTAAAAGTGTCTAGAGGGCTTCCCTGGTGGCACAGTGGTTGAGAGTCTGCCTGCCTATGCGGGGGACACGGATTCGTGCCCCGGTCTGGGAGGATCCCACATGCCGCGGAGCGGTTGGGCCCATGAGCCATGGCCGCTGAGCCTGCGCGTCCGGAGACTGTGCTTCGCAGCGGGAGGGGCCACAGCAGTGAGAGGCCCGTGTACCGCAAAAAAAATAAATTAAAAAAAAAAAAGTGTCTAGACAGGAAACTTAGAACAATTTTCCTTAAGCAAATTATTTTGTTTTTACCATTTACTGATTCCTTTACTCTTCACGTGTACCTTTGTTGGTGCGTCATCCTTCAGTACTGCCCTGAAAGAGGCATTTCACATTCATCAGTTTGAATGAGAGAGATTTACACTTAATGCTCTTAAAGAAAAAAGTGTCACGCAGATATTTATAAGTTATGGAGTTGCTTTCCTACAACACAAACATCCTTGATATTTAGAAACTTCAGTCCAAAATTTGGGGCTGTACTCTTTTGCTCTGTGAGGGCTCAGCTAGTCAGTACTGAAATTAACCTTTCATTTATAGATAACTTCTCTACTTAGAGGAAAAACTTACCTGTTTCACATTAATTATGTTATCATTTCATTTTCTTGGTCTTTTAGTACCAGAAAAGTTTTCTTTGAGAAGAATAAGAAAATGACTCATAGTAGTCATGGAAGGAAAGAGAGTGTCATAGCAAACAAAGGGTGGGCACTTTGGAATCCAAAAGGTTCCCTTCTTTCAGCCCTCATTTTTCACCTGTGGAATGGGGATTATAGCCATCCCTCAGTATCCGCCGGGGATGGGTTCGGGGAGCTCCCACAGATATCAAAATGCACAGATGCTCAAGTCTCCCATGTAATATAGTGGAGTACAATAAATACAGTTGGCTTCCATATCTGCAGGTTTTGCATCTGCTTATTCAACCAACCTAGGACTGAAATTTTGCAGAGGGCCGACTGTAATAGTTTGCTGAGATAGTATTTGGCACAATGCCAAGCCTAGGGTAACTATCTTTATGAAACCATTAAAAAAAATCACCTTCAAAGTTGTTTTAAGTCTCTCAAGAATAATTAGGCTCATCGATTTATAGACACACCTGATTTTGGACACAAAACAGCATTACCCTCTACGGCCAGGCTCAGAATGGCCTGTGGCTGATCCCAACTCACTCTCAAAGCGTAAGGACTTAGCATCTGTGCGGATGTTCAGAGAAATGTGTGTGTTCCCTTGTCCTCAAGGTTAGTTCCAAAACAAGAGTTTCAGAACTCTTTTATATATGGTGATAGTGATGTTGACATTCATATGCATTCTCCCCATGTACCCCTCTGCCTGAAAGGAGGCAATGGGTGTATGCATGCTGGCTTGTGTTTAAAAATCTTATTACTTCATAGTCATACTTCAGGGGAAGAATAAGTCAGTGCTGGGACTGAATTCTTCAAGCTTAATCTCCTTCCAGGTGAGAGAGGAAAATCTCTGATACTTCAGAGAAGACATAAAGGCTAGCCATAACTGAGGATTTGTTGCAGTCTGGATGTGGGAGTTGGTTCCTTTAAGGAGAAATTTACCTGCACATTATGCCATATTCATTGCAATGTGCTTTGATGATGAGTAGAAAAAAGAGCATCAGATATTAAAATTTGTAACAAGTAGGTCATTGCAGCAAGTCACTAGTAACTTTTCAGACAATTCCACTCAATTTGATAGTCATTCAGACAGCTTTGAGGTGAGAAGGCGGGTTTGCTTGTGTGTGTTGAGCATCATCATTGCTGTACCCCTTGCTATCACCTTCCTATTAGGCTGGGTGTGGAATGCAAAATGGAAAATGTTTCACCACAGGATGGACATAAGCAATATAATGCATGCAACTATTTGGAAATGCAAGTATTTCCATTCTCTTGGAAATGACAGTATATATATAGTTGACCCTTGAACAACACGGGTTTGAACTGCATGGGTCCACTTACACGTGGATTTCTTTTCACTAAATACCTCCTGTAGTCCTACATTTTGGTTGGTTGAATCTGCACGTGGGGAAGGAACCACAGATACTGAGGGCCAACTGTAAAGTTATACTTGGATTTCTGATTGTGTGGAGGGTTGGCCCCCCCAACTCCCCTCACCCCACAGGTGTTCAAGGGTCAATTGTATTATATATCTTTCTTGGGTTCTAAATTACCTTTTGGCATTAAACCCTGCTAGCGAGGATATGTTGAACTGGATCACGTCAAACCATTTTCTGTTCTTGGAGAATCTTACAGTATTCACAGTTTCATGTGAGAAAATTTCCAAGGTTGGAAATTATTTTTTCATTAAAAATGGAACCCCTATAGAGGACAAGTGATAAATAGGGAGGTTATTTTATATTTAAACCTGTAATATTTGCCACCTCTTTTTAAATGGCAAGTGCTCTTGAGGAAGGAAAATGAATTATTAAAAGTTCTCTAGATTTTAGTTTCCTTGTTTCTGTACCCATTATGGATGTTTTTATATTAGATAGAACTATTCACTTAGAACTATGAGTAACAGCTGAAATATTCCACCTTCCTTGAGTGAGACCACACTTCTCTCTTGAAAGAAATGTGATTTTATTTTTAACATTTCAAAAAGTATTGAGTGATTCAGTCACATTTACTCCTCTTTGATCTTGCATTCTTTTTAAATAATGCTAGTGTGTGGGATCCAAATGAGGGTAATTTAAAACCAGTTTTACATGCATACATGCAGACACAGCCTCTAATTACGCAAATTTGTTTAAAAGGATTTTCATTTACAGTAATGGAAAAGCTTTTACTGTTTTGGGAAAGCCTTAAGCTTTGGGGGAATTTTAGGCATCTAATAACCTGTGAGTTCAATCGAATGTTCTTGTGACTGAAGGTCAGTTATTTTCTTATTTAAGTTTTGGATTTTTGTTTTGGGAGTTTATTTTAGTTGAAGTGTTTTTTCTGACTCTGCTTTTTTACATCGTGTGTTGGTAGAGACGTCTACTTCTCTGTTCTTATTCTGCTTACTTAACATTTTTTGTTTTTTCTCCCTGGGCTTTCCTTAGCTTGGCCATTGTGTAAGTACTTTATGAATCAATAAATTAGGGTATGTTGACATTTTTTAGTATTGGAAAATGTTAGTATTATGCTACAAGTATCAGTCAGTAGTATTTGTAAAATAAACAGAATTGAGCACTGAAATCTCACCGTTATTTTCCCTTTTTGCAAATGGACTATTTTTACTATACATTATAATAAGAAGTAGAGATTTTGTTGTAGAAATTTGACTTCTCAACAGAGAAATCACTAGCAGCAAATAATGAAATTGTAAAAACTTATGTTTGTCTTCTCAAAAGCATAATTTTTTTCACGCTCTGAAAATCAAATTATGTTCCTTGGAAGTGTTTGCCTAAATTATTTCTTGCTTTAATGTTGACATAGTCTACATATAACATTCACTTCTTCAAATATTAACAAACTGTGACCTGGAACAGTGTTTCTCAAATCTATTTGTGTAGAACCTGGTTGTTGTTTTTAAATTTACAGCCAATCATAAACCATTACTTTGGCAAAAATATAATAAAAATGGCCATAGCTCCACACACTGGATTCATAGCCCTGCAGCTGTGGAGTTGGTTGGCCTTGGTTTCCCTGAAGTGTGTAGACCAGCCTCCTGGGGAGGTCTGCCTCTGTGTGACACTCCCCGTCAGAGTTCACATCAGGCACCTCACTGTGATCTGCTGTTACCTGAAAAAGTAGAAAGGACTGAATTTAAACACTCCAGCTGAAATACTCCTGAATAAAGCAATTCCAAAGATCTGTGCAAAATTCTGCTTAACATGTAAGCAGCCAGGGAAATTGGCAGGGTTTTGTCCAGAGTACCGCAGACATATTTCATCTAAAATAGTGAAATAAGGATTCTTTAAAATTTTACATCAAAACTTGAACAAGGGCTTCCCTGGTGGCGCAGTGGTTGAGAATCTGCCTGCCAATGCAGGGGACACGGGTTCGAGCCCTGGTCTGGGAAGATCCCATATGCCGCGGAGCAACTAGGCCCGTTAGTCACAACTACTGAGCCTGCGCATCTGGAGCTTGTGCTCCACAAGAGAGGCTGCGACAGTGAGAGGCCCACGCACCGCGAAGAAGGGTGGCCCCCGCTCGCCGCAACTAGAGAAAGCCCTCGCACAGAAACGAAGACCCAACACAGCCAAAAATAAATAA